ATCTCCTATACCACATTTTCCTCCCCTAACCCCCCCCACCTCCTCTACCCAACAAAAACCAGCATAGATGAAAGATGGCCATTTAATACAGGAATGCTATATTGAAAAACACCATCAGCATATTGAAAATGAATTAGTTCCAATGCGATCAATTCATTGATTTCTCTTAAGGAATTAATGCTTCCCTGTGCACTAAACAATTGTCGAAAGTCAATCGGCGCAAGATGCATAGAATTTTTACTGTCAAAGGCGAATTCTTCTAATGGGATAAGTTATACAGCAGTGATTTATAATGAAATATTTCTGTTCGAACTGAATGAAATGTTTTTGTACAAAGAAGCGAACAAAGAAGACTTGTTTTTGCAGAATACGAATTGAATAATGAAACTGAATTAAAAAATTCAGCTCAAAATCTTGCAAATAAAATAGCTCGAAACTATTGACGTATAACAGTATAAAATGTTCTCATAAATAATTCATTCTAATATGGAATACCGAATTCGAACTGAAGAACTTTTTCTTCATTTGGTTCAGTTAGAATCCGTTCGATTCATTTTTGATACCAAACTGACAAAGAATCCAGAAAATCACACGTCAATATCATGCTTTACCTACACTAAGGCACTGGGAACTAATTTTACGGATAGTATGTGTAAGAGTGAAAACTACGAATATGTGCAATCTGACCAAAATCTTCGTATATTCCAGAAATTATTTTCAAGTTTTAATTTCCAAGGAAATTTGACGATGTTGAATAAAAAAGTGAATGAAGGTTCTTTTTTGTCAGTGCAAAGTGTAAATACTAGGATAAGATTTGAATATGACAAACCGATAAAAGTCTACTTCCACTGGGACCAGTATGAAGCTTCATCCGATGTGCTCTTGTCTTGTTCTATCCCTTGAGCGTCAGCGGAAATGACGAATAGACTCCAATATTGTATGACTGCGATTATTTCTTAGATAAGCAACAGTTTCCGACAGCTTTTATCGTTTACTTTGAATTCGAGTTCGAGTTCAACTCAACCTCGTATCATGAAAAAAGCACGTATTTGTTTATCCATACTTCATTATTTCATTTGAGTTCTGTTCAGTAATACTGTATGAGATGAAATATGCGATAACTTTCACTAATCCTAATTCTTCTGAATATACATCATTGACTTGTTTTAAATGGATGTGTAGTCCACATAAACAAAATAACAAAAAATAGTTCAAATAAAAACCATCATTACTCTTCTCTAGCTTGTCTTCGAGATCAATCAACTGTTCGCATTGTTAAATACTTAGGAAAACCCCCACCATGCTGTTTTTACAATCAATTGAAAGAGTGTTTGAAAAGCGGTGATGGTACATCGATTACCTCATTACGAGAACAAAATAGACAATTTGCCTATGCAGTTTCAATGAACATAATCGAGAAAAAAAATTGGAATTTCGACGAAAATGTATAAAAACAGCAAATATCAATGATCTTCAAGCTTGCCATGCATATCGAATGTGTACAGCTGAAGTGAAAGTTTGCCAGCTTAATTATGCAGTTCGAATTGCAATCGAACAAGACGAATTTAAATGTGCTCAGAAAGTGAAAAAAAACAGTTCTTGTCGCCCGTTCAACTGATACTTTGAAATTAACTCTATGAGAAAATAAATTCGATCAAACTGCGTTAGAAAATTCGTAGTACTAATTTCGTACCATATTCGTTTACTCAAAATACGTACTTTTAACGACCAAATTTCATTGAACACGACATCGAACACGTCGTGCTTATTTAACTCTAATACTTATAATTAACTCAATGATTTTCTACCCTTTTGAGGTTTATAAGAATCGATGATCTTGAGCAAGTTACCGAACAAATCGATAACAATATGAACTCATGGAAAGCAGATAAAGGTCAAATGCTCTTTGTCGATCAGTTGGTAAACAGTATAAGTGTCAAGGGTATGGCAGAACAAGTCTTACCAAAAACCGAACTACAATATCGTGCAATGACTGTCAATCTCGATTACTAAAACAAAACAGCGGCGAAGATGTTCACATGAGAATCAAAACCGTCACATATGCCAATGAAGAATACAATCTGGAGCTGGTTAGATCAGTGATACTAGCATTCTTCAGCGATAGTAGTCTCTTAAATATCAATGACAAGGAATCGGTCAAACTCGAAGAAAATTTACATCTTATCATAGGATTGAATACCGAATTTGATTACGATTACCATACTAGCTTTATCAATCAATTGCAAATGTTGAATCAAAATGAACCACAAGAACGAATTATGAGCTTTCTTATTTTATCTAAACACTTTCATTTACGCATATATTTGTTTAGATCAGTTATTTACATGATAAATCAGTTGATTCTCATCATATATTTTGCACGAAAACACTAAATGTTCAGCTCATTCTTGTTTAATTTTATCGTATATTCAACAAAAATAACTCCCTTTTATTCTAATGAACTCTCTGATCATGTTCATACATCGATTCGAATCAGTTTCAGTGTATTCTGGAATAACAAAACAATCGGCTATAACTTTCTACACGAATAAGTCGCGTAAAAAAAAACTAACCTATTTAATGGACAATTTCACTCTCCAACTAATGGTCATTGTTATGCTCCTGGGTCAAACTTTGAGAAAACTTTACCTGAATCGTCAAGACACACATTCATACCAGGGGAAAATCTACGAAATCTTGATAAATTTTGTTTTTAGAACAAAGCCGTGATCTTTGGGTGCAGAGCCATGTTCTACATCCAATGGATGCTTTTTTAACCCCATCCTCAGGGCTTTTTCGTCTACAAATTTCTATAAGCAATTTTTCTTTTTTCCAGGCAGTATCACGTCCATTATTCAGAATAATCCACAAAACTTCCAAGTTTCTTATTAAAACAACATATTTTGCACTTTCCAGATCATTGCGGCTCGGTCGGTTTCAGCTGGAATCTGGTGGCAAGAAATCTGCCGGATCCGAGCGGAACCTGCTGAATTGGGCCGGAATCGACAAAAAGTATAAGAAACATGAGTTCCACATTTTAGCTGCAAATGGGCGCGCTGACAAGCTTTTTCACAAAAATCAAGTTTGAAGGGTAGAATTGATGAAAAAATCGGATTTTTCAGAGAAAATGTATGAAAACCAGTATTTTGTGCTATGTTTTATGGAAAACACCTTTAAACAGGCCATAATCTGTTATCAAAACGATTATCCTCGAGTAGTTCTATCACGTCGCACAGATGGCCGCGCAATTACACTACAAAACATATCACATATATACGTATATGTATAATAACAGAAAAACTACGTCAAAATGTATCGTTGACGTTGCCCTCTCTCAAGACGGTAGTTGAGGACATGACAGATAATTGCATTGTGTAGAGCTCGTTTTGCTCTACAACTCCCTATATTTGATATTTTCCGTTCCTCAAATTTTCATGTAAAAATTGTTCAAACAGTTTCGAAGAATTTCTCCTAAGAATATGAAATCTACAGGGACGGAAAAAATTGGAAAAATTTTTCGCATTTGCACATAGCTGGATGCAGTTTCTCGAGAGGAATTAGAATATATCCTTGGATTCATATTTTGAACTTTTTTTTAGTACAGTTGCATTAGTTTTTCAGAAATCCTTTGACCAATCATTTTTCAAAAAACCGAAAACAATCGTTGAGTCATCAATAGTATTTTAACAATATCTCAGCAAAAAATGGTTTAATCGAAAACTTATTTTCGCAGGATGATCAGCAGGAAAAGCCTTGTAAACCTGAAAGTTTTGTCAAGTTTCAGTGTGATCACCGACTCGGTGGGCGATTTCCATAGGTATGCCCATATAGATAATTGCTTTTTTTCTCCAGTCTATACTATTGAAAATCACATTAAATGAGTGATAGGCAGCCTCTGTTGGATGCGTCAGGCAAGCTGCCGTCTGGCGATGACGATGGTTTCGGTAGTGATATCCACCAGAAGCAAGTCCCAAAGAGCAGGTATGTTATAATTTGAGGGAAGAAGTATACACGCATCCAGTTTATTGGATACTCTAGCTTTTCTACGTGGCGACGATATTTTTCAAGAAGTACCAAAATGGATGCAAACAATAAAAAGCCAGATGACGAAGACGACGCGAACGATAGATATCATGATATTGGGTTTTTCGAAATTGTGAGTGTGTAGAAGTTTATCATTGCCACAGAAACTGTCGGTGCATTTGAAAACTTTTACGTTTAGAAGATTATTCCGGGATTTTAAGCCCCCATATAATGGATATCGTCAGAGGGTTCTATACGTAGAAAATTTTGACAAGCCTTCTAGTGCCTGCCATAGATCTGACTGTATTTTAACAGCTATCCGTATTAACGACGTTCAGATGTCATATGAACAGTTATCTGACCTACGAAAGCATTCGCCTAGGAGAAGCGGCAACTCTTTGAAGAAGCTACTTTTGACAAGTTTGAATGGTATTCACGGTATAATCATTATACTGTATCTATGCCCATCAGCCAAAAGGCGTCAGAACGTTCGATTTATTTAAAGTCCCTACATTTTTTAACCATTTCACAGAAGTTTTTATAACACAATCAAAGTAAAAAAGCTCTTCTGAGTCACCCAAAACTGCGTTTCTCTTAATATACCCTCTTTTTCATATACAGGCCCATATTTACCTACTGTGGGCCTAGCCCAGGCTTTTCTCTAGAGCAAGCAGTATCATGAAGTTATATATCTTATACAATACTGAACTTCTGTCAAAAGATTATACTATGACATCCCATGAAATTCACCTTCTCGACATTAGAAGCCTCTCATTTTTCTGTAAAAAATAAGAAACCGCTGAAGTGAGCAAGAGTACAAAACTAAAGGATTCGTTGAGAAAAGTTTTAAGACTCTTAAAAGTCTTGATAGCTTTGATATCTAAACTTCCCAAGTAGTTGCAAGATATATAAGAATTCTGTCTGAAGACAACAAGTGCCTACCATGTTGTCTGCTCTTTACATGACTTTTGTGAAACTAGGCGTGCCCTAGTTGGTTTTGCCGTGTGTCATCGAACCCATCTTGAAATCTGTGTTCAGTCATATATAGTTCAATATGGCTAATTTTTTTACAAGTAACTCATAGTTATTGTAAATTAGACGGCTCAACATTGACACTAGTTTTCTGAAAAAGTTTTCGATGTTAAAGTACGACATGATGGTAGTATTTATCAGCCGTATAATCAACGTTGTAATCGTTGCAGATCTTATAAGATCGAAGGCGGGCTGGTTAACAAAGTGTTCCGAAGTGGTTAAAATTGATACTGAGCCGTTTTGGTTAAAGAAGACTTGAAAACGTTTATTTTTCAAAAGTTTATCAGTAGATCATATTCTATACTGTAATTCTTTGTACCTGAGGCTTTTTAAATAAGTGAATTCAATGGTTTAACGCAACAACAGTTTTATAGTCGCCATTGTTTAGACCCTCGCCTTTGGCTTGTATTTTTTTCTACTGACCAGAGAATTCCTATTGAAATCAAATTTATTCATAGATTAGACCGCTTTGAGACATGAAAAAAATCTCAATCGAATATAAGCCTCTAGTTCTTCCGTTCATACTCATGAGCATTTTACTAAAGCTCCAGTCGGAAGCATTGGATATAAGTTATCAGAAAATTGAATGAAAATATGTCGACAACAACTTGTGCCCACTGTAGAGTCTCATGGTGAATAAAATGTCTTTAACTTTCAATTGAAGACAGCATTTATTTCTTTAAGCAATGACACGAGAAATTATTCATGCCCACAAAAGTTATTGAAATTACACTCTTTTCGTCCTGTAACATATCTCGAAAAAAAAGTAATATTTCCCTTACATAGTCAGCTCTGCGCGAACTACGGTGCTCAAAGCCTTGATAACATCAATCCAATATCGTCAAATAATATCTATTTGAATTAAAAACGAAAAAGGTTTTAGTCCACAGAAGAACGAACATAGTGCTCTTAAAATAGTTCATTTTTTTACAAAAAAAGTCTCAAAAACCTTTTTAACATTTATTAAAAAAAAGTTTATTTTGTTCAAAAGTATGAAAGCTAGTTTATTACTAGTGATTGAAGCGCGTTGTAGGCGCTAAGCAAACGTTTATATCAGCAGAAACCAATGATCCGCGCGCTTGCTAGGTCAAGCTGATTAGGGTACTTGTAATTTCTATAACCCCCTAACTTTTTGAGATATCATGACAGTGCTTCCCTCGACTAGCCGCAGATTGACGGGTTATGTTCGCACAGACCTACGCTTACCCACTTTGATGAGAACTTCAACAAAGCACACTGTTCCTAAACATTCCACGACCACCCAACTCAATATAACCATCTAGAATTTTTCCTATTGACCTCACAAGCGTCGGTGTTGATGTTTACAACCATCCGCAGAACTGAAGAATCCGCATTATTGCAAACCCAAGCGGTATCCTCCCATCGAGTAGCAAGGGCCTGAGTAAGTGGCTGGGTGGGATTCATTTGAATCTGAATTTATTGAAATAAAGTGGACAAGCGCTTCCGGATTCACTTCAAACAAGTTCCAAAGTGCATTAAAGCCCACTGGCTACTAAATTCACCATTCACTTAATATGAACACCTCCATGCACACATCTACACCAATGCCCACACTCACACCCTCTCGTGTTTTCGAAACGACACATGCAGTGTTTCATGTAACTTATAATAGAAACTCCCCTTGATGGAACGATGTATCTACCGTAAAAAAATACGTTTTTTCTTACGATCGCGATGAAAATGTATCAATATTTTTCGTAAAGATTATGCAGATATTATTTTCCCACTGGAGGATGTATGAGAAGCACCACGAGCAGTTATGATCCTCTAGAAAACTGATTCTGTTGCTGCAATCAGTGTAATAATATTGTTTGAGTGGAAAGGACATCGGGGTTTACGCCGAACTGTCTGCTTTTCTTGTAGTTTCGACATGCAGATGGTATCAGTGTTCTTCTTATGCTCACTGGCTTACTCCTTTTGGCAATACATGCAGTTTGCGTACTTGCCAATCTAGCTCTTTTTGGTAAAATTACTGGTGTTTTTGCTGTGGAATCATTTGATAATGATTGCCATAAAGTACATAGAAATTTGACAGCTCTTATCACCTACGACAGTGACTGTCCTCTAGGCATTGCAGTCGATGCAGACAACAATAGTCGGCTTTATAAGTAATTTATCAAAAAACGTTGTAGCTTTTTGATGCAGTGTTATATTTCACAGATTATGTCATAATGTCGATACGGTTGCACTAGCAACATCACCTTCATCATCGCTTTTTCGGGCGAAAGTTATGACTATAATTTATTGGTTAATCCGTAAGCGAATCAAATACAATACTTAGTTGATATACTTGCTTGCTCATGTCATTGTAGTTATTGCTGTTGTTGTATGGTTGGCCAGTTTTCTTGAATATGCTATTTGGTCGATTGCTATAAGACGGCAGACAGCTCGTATGAATATCTTGCTCTTTCAATCGCTGCTACAGCGTGTAATTAAGTTTCTTTTGATAGAAACAATTATATTTTTGATATTTATCTCAACTGTTGTTTTCTTTTACACTTCAGAATGTACCATACTTTGACAAACATCCAGCTAGCCAATTCAATAGTAACCTATTTGGGTAAAGTGTCGTTTTATCTTACATAAAATAAATTTTACATGATGAAATCTTTTCACAGCAACATTGCGATGGTAGAAAAGGGTATTGGCGTAGATTTTTTGATCATGCTTGGGGCAGTACTAGGTATATGGGCAAGTTTGATCACATGTTTCATTATCAATTGGAAATTATCTCTGATTTTATTCTTCACTGTACCTATTGTTATGACCGGTTCCACGATATTTTCTAAGGTATAAAATAAAATATTACCTCATTGAATCAAAGCTTCATTGAAAAAAATTAGCTTCTTGCTCGTGAGACAGAAAATGAATTCAAATCGTATTCATCAGCTGGGCGTATCGTTCAAGAAGTAGTAAGCTCTGTCCGAACGGTTTTCTCACTTAATGGCGCCAAATTTGAGCAACAGCGGTAAATGAATATACTAGTAGCAGAAAGTTTACGGATTTTGGGGTCATTCTGATTATTTAGGTACGAGAAGGAATTAGAGTCAACTCATTGGAGTACTGTTCGACAACGTGCCATATGTGGTGTTTTTATGGGTTGGCTATCTTTTAGCTCTTACATAGTTTATGCCGTTGGTTTCATCTTTGCTTCTATGTTCATGTCTTATGCAACTCATCACGGACGGGAAATTACTGATGTCCTTGTTGTAAGTAACTGATGATATATACGTATATACTATCTCGCTAGAAAATTCCGTGCAACTATCCTCCCACTTACATGCGAGAAGCAAGGTTTCTATCGTTATGTAGGATGTCTAAACTTGAAACGCCACACAGTTGCCTTATATTCAGTCTGATTTCTACAGAAAAAAGATTCATCATAAGCGTGTATACATAGATGTATGTCACTCTATTTTGAATTGATCTATCCATTGTATGTATGTTGTACGCAATGCAGAGATACTGTTTCATAGAGCTCTCCAAAGGTCATATTATGCACTTTTCAGCATCAAATTTTAAGGAAACCATGACATCATAAATTACTTTTTCGCGAAAAAACACCTTGATACCACATGAAACGTTACTAATGAAGTGACTAGTTTTTTCTCAGTTTTTAGAAATTGCTTAAAGGTCTGACTGCATTGCTCTGAAATTTCTGACACAAAGATCATTTCAATGGCTTTTTGCAATAATTTATTTCACATTTTCACTTAAACATGCTCCATTTTCGGAGCTTCGCTGTCGAACTAGCGGTCTCTGTCAAATATTTTCGACTTTTGTGACCGCAGACGTCAGCCTGCATGAAGCTCTAGTGATCCTAAATCAGTATTTTTAAGAGATTGATAATCAACAACAGTGAAAACTTATAATGGAATGGCGAGTAGTGTGGTTTTGAAGATTTTTTTCTTTCTCAAACAAAGTTGAGAAGCAAACATCTCACAGGTGAAGTGAAGAATAGTTGCACGACATTTTCAAATACGATAGTATAATGGAAAAAAGTAAACTTCACTTTGATATAGATTATTATGATGTTTGCTCAGTGTCTAGCATACTTTGGTATGATTGTGCCTTTCTTTCAATCATTTTCGGAAGGGCACGGTGCTGGGAAATCTGGATTTCGACCTATTGATGAAGTAGGTTTGAATAAGCAGAAATTGCATGTACCTAATGAATGTTTTTTTGTCTCATTCTACAATATAACAGGAACGAGATCCAAACTTAAACGAGAAGGATTTGTTCACAGAAGATGCCTCTAATGAAGACTCAGTTTGCAACATTGTCGGTGACATTGAATTTAAAGATATAAATTTAGTTTATCCGTCTCGAAAAGATGTGTCCGTTTTACACAATCTCAATCTGATTGCTCGTACCAATAAAACGACTGCTCTTGTTGGTGGAAGCGGTTCCGGTAAACATCGTTTTTGCTAAGTGTGTAAAATGCTAAAACATTACAACGATAGGTAAAAGTACATGTATGTCACTTCTTCTTCGATTTTATGAGCCATCATCGGGTGAAATAACGATCGATGGTCAAGCAATAACACAATATTCAATTAAATGCCTTCGACAAAATATTGGAATTGTCAGTCAAGAGCCTGTATGTTGCTTTTTTGTCCTTTGTTCAGCTGCAATTTATATCAAATTAGATTTTATTTGCAATGACTATTTATGAAAATATTCGTCTTGGTAAATTAAACGCAACGCGTAAAGAAATTGAAGAAGCGGCAAAGGAAGCCAGCGCGCATGATTTTATTATGAAACTACCTCATGTTTGTAGATTTTGTTTTTATTTTGTCTCATATATGTGANACATAATTTTTTTTTCATCAAAAGTGTTTTCTAAAGCATACCGGCATTTTGAAGTAAAAAAAAATCGAAAAAAAAAACCTTTCCAAAAAAGTGGCTGGATCTCCATGAATTCACCCGTTTCGTGTTTTTTTCTGACATTTTCGGTATATATGACGATATACCAAGAGACGTTCCGAAAAAACGACCTAGAACTCGAAATTTTCAATAGGAAGGGACCCATTTTTTTTACCAAAAGTGTTTTCTAGATCACTTCGGCATATTGAGCAAAAAAAAAATCTTTTCCAAAACGTGGTAGGGACCCCATGGATCTACCCATTGTCTCTTTTCAACTTAAAGCATGTTTTTCGATGATTTAAAAGAGGGCCCATGGCAAGAGATCCCTATGACGCCGCGAAGTTTATTTTGCCGTTTTTATTTTTTAGAATGGTGCATCTGGTTGAACGATACTTAAGTCCAGAATATCAAATTATTTACTTAAACTAACAAGAAATGCAAGCAAAAATACTTTTTTTGGCCCATTAGAACTTGTATTCTTAGGATGTACCACAGGAGTGTCATTTTGGCATTCTGTTTTAAAGAATGAGGACGAGAGTGCCGCGAAAAACATTTCCTGCTGACTGTTTATCAGCTCATAAAGAAATGGAACATAACTTTGTCTACCGATGAGAGCAAAACCTCTGTGACGTTCCTCCTTCTGGGAATGCAAGCATCCATCTGATATTCATTAAGTTAACAATATGTAAAAATATTCCTGCTGTCATAAAAATCGATACTTAAAATGGAATGTGATCTTACGAAAACAGTGTACAACAGATGAAGCTCTCATTGTGATTTCTCGTCATCTGCTTCTACTTTAAAATTTGTGATGTAGATTTCCTCAACATAAATTTGTCTTCGCTTTTAGTATGCGTGTTGAAATTTTTAATATCGTACAGTACAGACGTAAAAGCGTATCAGAGTATGATAATCTCCGTAATCATTTCTTTTAATATCGTCTAAAACGAAGTGTTAGCTTCGTTAAGCCCTTCGCCCCACTCAAGATAAATGCATAGAAAGATAGCCCTTCTTTAAATCTTTCAGAAAAAGTATGCTTTTTCAGGCAAAGCAAACATATTTTTCGTCTTTTGCCCATTTAGACTTTTTTACAGATGGGACCCAAATCTCTCGGTCCTGGTTCATGCTATATCCTTTATTATTTTTTTGTTCGAAAGTGCATGTCAAGATGCAGATAATGGTGCGGTCTGTTTTTTAAATTAAACTTTTTTCAGAAATAAGCAGGCGAATATCGACAGACTCCCATTTTCTGAGAGCGCTTTTGACACCATCAACTTGCCATATTTTTATTTTATTTAAGCAATTAGATTTTTAAAAATTCCATCATCGTCTGCATCTTGACATGCTCTTTCAAACAAACAAAAATGAGGATGTAGCATGAACCTGGACTAAGAAATTTGGAGCCTGAGATGAGCTATCTCTGCCCTTGTCTAATCAACATCTCTCTTTCACGAAATAGTACAGGGCTCAACCAAGATACGTTTTGGAGTCGGGGCTTCAATAATAACTGCATTTGTTCCATTGTCCTTATCTCTCTTTCGAAGTACAAATAAATATGTTGCTTGAAATAGATTAATGTCTTTAAAACTTGTATGGGACTGAACGAATATGTAACTTTCGTGCTGATTTATTCAGTCTTCGCCGGTTTTACCGCACAACTACCAAGAATACATGACGTCGAGGAAACGGCAATAATTTATCAACTACTGCATCAGAATCGACTTGAAAATGAGCCGCTTGTCCTTTTGATGCAGCTTCATGATCACCACCAACAACAATAATGCTCATGTACACATGGAATAGTCTAACTGTATGCTGTTCCATAAAGCTTAATTGTGGTACATCTGGAACTGCACATATGTGTAACTTATTATTTACGCGTGCAAAGAAGCAATGAGGACGATCCTCTGACGCCGTGAACCGAACACACTTTCTACATAATGAATGTCCTTCAACCGTATCATGTTCTAATTCGTGCTTAATCGCCGCATTCTGTAACTGACTTTCAGCATGTTATGATCCACAATAAGAGCAAGGCAACCATGGGTGAAGAATTGCTGAAAAGTATCTAGCAAACACACCTATTGTAATAAAATATCATAATTAACGAAACGAACAAAACTTTTCATTCACTGCACTGTATATATCGTCACTGTCTAAATGTTCCTTCATATTCGATTTGGTGCTCATACCATCTAAATAGCTTCAATGATATGATGTATTTCAATAAAAGTTAAAGTTTACGAATGTTTGCTAGTTCACATGGATTCGCTTGACCACTTTTCTCGATTTCCTCTTTGAAAGAATTCAAGTATTGTTGACTTTTCTATCGATTCTTTCTTGAAGACTTGAAATTTCGAAAACATCTTTATTTCTGTGGCGTTTTCGAATTTCGATTCCCTTTTCGCTTTTTCATAGTCTGTGAATTCAGCAGTGGTTCTTCAATTATTAGGTGAACAGAACTTTATGAAGTAGTAGAATTTTTCGAATCACACTCATCGTCTTCGAGCTCTGCTTCATTCACTATGGAAAGCCTATTAGATATATTTCCTAACGATTGGAAAATCAAATAAGGAGAAATACATATATGAAAAAACAACTAAACTGCAAATTATTTTACACATGCGCCTTTTTGTTACGGACGTTTCCGTTAAACTATTTGAAAATCGCGTTTACATCAATCACGATTGATTCCGATATGATCAATTATATTATCATTTAGACAGATAGTATCAATCTGTCATCTGTTTGATTTGAACAGCATTTTGTTCATAAATAAGATTTGTGTTGTAACAACACAGCTGCAACTTACCCCAACGTATCATTTCACTAGTCATCCTGTGCAAAGATTATTAACACAAATTGATAAATCAAACCTTCAATCGATTTTCGAATTCGCAAATTGCCATCAAACGAACTAATTTCATCCTAGTCTAATGCCAATCATCTGAAAGAAATGATATGTTGCATTACTGTTACAAGTCTCACATCAACTAAATCACAGTGAGTCAACCAACAAAATACATAAAACACATGGGAAATTGATCTATGTATATCTATGAAAATGCAACTCTTTGTTCAATGAAAAATTCCCAATTTCAGTTACAACAAAACTGTGCGAACTACTCATTTGAACAAATCATTTAACCATATACTCAGTCTTGGCAAAATCTAAAAATAAATTACTTCATTTCCTAAGGCTCTCCGAGTAAAATCTATTTTATTTGATAAAATTACGAAACATAATCGAACATATTTGGCTGTTCAAAAGCAAATAAGAGCTTAAATCGAAACTTTTGTTGAATTCGAAAATAATCACAGTTGCAACTCCAGATCAAATCTTGACATTGATAATCGTTCGTATTATTTGAGTAATCATTAAATAACTCTGCAAAAAATTCACTGTCGCGATTTTCAATTTCTTGAATCCCTATCGGAAGCCATTTGCTACTCACGTACAATTGATTGATGTGGAAACGTTTGATATTCAATTGCACAGAATATAACAATCGAAATCCACGTCTTATATATTTTCCAATTCGAGGAGCAATTGATGCAAAGTCACTATCATCGTCATGAAGACCATAATGAATCATAGTTTCTGTTCGAATCCCTCAAACAGCAGCCATCGTAGCATACAGTCTGTTTCCATCAAACGAAAATTGACTGATATCGATGTCAAATTTTGTCAGCAATTTATCTAAAGCATAATGATCTTTAATGAATATAAACTGTAAATCAATAAATTCTGATTGCTGCATCAAATCACCGATATATTGGTTTGTGGCCAATCGCAAATTTATGATCTTCTTTTCAACAAAAACAGTTCGTTTCACATAAAAATATTGACGTTTTTTTTTGTTGCACTTCATTCTGGCAATCAGAACTATTTTTGCTGAATAATAAAATACGATACAAATAGATCCAGCTTACAGTAGAATTCACAAAATCGTCGTATGATGGCTCTTTTTAAAATAAATCAACATATTGATCCGATGACAGAAATAAATTATTTCGCATACTGGTCAATAAACATCCACCAGCAATATGAAATCTCGAATAGTCGATCTAGCGACCTCAGATACAAAATAAAATACAAATATTGAAAGAGAAGAATTTTTCACACGTTTCTCTGAACGTACAAACCGACATAAGGGAAAGCCTTGGTTCATATTGCTTATGAATTGATCGAACGACTCAACAAATGACGTTTCTTCTATTGATGCTCCATCAACATTAAACAATTCTAATTCCAACTAATCTAATTCGCATGGCAGCAATAAATCATAGCTTTTAAAAACATCAATCAGCGGCTGTCGCGTTGAATAAATTGGTCGATTATATGGAATAAGACGACAAAAAAAACTTCGTATTCGTGTTCTTTAAAAAATTTACTCTCTGCTTGCAAATTTGCCGTAGAAAAACTACCATAGACGAAAGATGGCCATTTAATACAGGAATACGACATTGAAAATGAATTGGTTCCAATGCGATCAATTCATTGATTTCTCTTAACAAATTGATGCTTCCCTGGGCGCTAAACAATTGTTGCAAGTCAATCGGTACAAGATGCATAGAATTTTTACTGTCACAGGCGAATTCTTCTAATGGGAGAAGTTATACAGAAGTAATTTATAATGAAATGTTTTTGTGCAAAGAAGCGAACAAAGGAGACTTGTTTTTACAGAATAAGAATTGAATAACGAAACTGAATTAAAAATCCAGCTCAAAATCTTGTAAATAATACAGCTCGAAACTATTGACGTCTAACCGTACAAAATGTTCTCATAAATAATTCATTCTAATATGGAATACCGAATTCGAACTGAAGAGCTTTTTTCTTCATTTGGTTCAGTTAGAATCCGCCTGATTCATTTTTGACACCAAACTGGCAAAAAATCCAGAAAATCACACATCTATATCATGCTTTATCTACACTAAGGCAGTGGGAACTAATTCTACGGATAGCATGTGTAAGAGTCAAAACTACGAAGATGTGCAATGTGAACAAAATTTTCGTATATTCCACAAATTACTTTTCAAGTTTTAATTTCCAAGGGTATTTGACGACGTTGAATAAAAAAGTGAATGAAGACTCTTTTTGTCAGTAAAAAGTGTAAATACTAGGATAAAATTTGAATATGACAAACCGATGAAAGTCTACTTCCACTGAGACCAATATGAAGCTTCATCCGATCTGCTCTTGTCTTGTCGTTCTGTCCCTTGAACGCCAGTAGAAATGTTGAACAGGCTCCAATGTTGTATATCTGCGATTATTTCTTAGGGAAGCAACGGTTTTCCGACAGCCTTTATCACTTACTTTGAATTCGAGTTCGAGTTCAACTCGACCTCGTATAATGAAAAAAGCACGTATCCATTTGTCCATACTTGATTATTTCATTTGAGTTCTGTTCAGTAATACTTTAAGAGATGAAATGTGCGATAACTTTGAATAATCCTAAATCTTCTGAATATACATTATTGGCTTGTTTTATATGGGTGTGTAGTCCACATAAACAAAATAACAAAAAACAGTTCGAATAAAAACCATCATTAGTCTTTTCTAGTTTGTCTTCAAGATCAATCAACCGTTCGCGGTTTTAAATGCCTAGGGAAAACTCCACCATGCAGTTTATATGATCCATTGGAAGAATCTTTGAAAAGCGGTGAAGATGCATAAATTACCTCCTTACGAGAAAAGCGTGAAAAATTTATCTGTACAGCTTCAATGAATATAATCGAGAAAAAATTGGAATTTCGACCAGAATGTGTAAAAACAACAAATATCAATGATCTTCAAGCTTGCCATGCTAATCGAATGTATACAGTTGAAGTAAGAGTTTGCCAGCTTAGTTATGTAGTTCCAATTGGAATCGAACAAAAGAATTCAAATGTGTTCAGAAAATCAAGAAAACAGCTCTTGTCTGCGATTCAACTGGTGCTTTGAGATTGACTCTATGGGAAAATCAATTCGAACAAATCGATGACAATATGAACCCATGGAAAGCAGATAAAGGCCAAATGCTCTTTGTCGACCAGTTGGTAATCAATACAAATGTCACGGTTGTGGCGGAGCAAATCTTACCAAAAACCAAACTACAATATCGTGCAATGACTGTCGATCTTGATTACTAAAACAAAACAGCGGCGAAGATGTTCACATGAGAATCAAAATCGTCACATATACCAATGAAGAATACAAGCTGGAGCTGGTTATATCAGTGATACTAGCATTCTTCAGCTATAGTAGTCTCTTAAATATCAACGACAAAGAATCGATCAAACTCGAAGAAAATTCACATCTTATCATACGATTGAATACCGAATTGATTACGATTACCATACTGGCTTTACCAATAAATTGCCAATTTTCAATCAAAATGAACCACAAGAACGAATTATGAGTTTTCTTATTTTACCTAACCATTTTCATTTATGCATATATTTGTTTAGATCAATTATCTACATGATAAATCGGTTGATTCTCATCATATAGTTTGCACGAAAACACTGAATGTTCCGCTCATTTTGTTTTTAATTTTTTTCGTATATTCAACAAAAATAATTCTCTTTTATTCTAATGAAGTCTCTGATCGTGCTCATGCATCGATTCGAATCAGTTTCAGCGTGTTTCGGGGTAATAAAACAACCGGATATACCTTTTTGTACGAATAAGTCGCGTCGAAAAAAAAACTACAGTATTTAGAGGGCAATTTCACTCTCCATTGAATGATCATCGTTATGCTCCTCAGTCAAACTGTGAGCAAATTTTATTTACATCTTCTAGACACACATGCATACTTGGCAAAAATCTGCAAAATCTTGATAAATTTTGTTTTTAGAACTAAACTGTGATCTTTGGGTGCAGAGCCATCTTCTACAACCAACGAACGCCTTTTCACTCCCATCCCTATGACCTTTTTGTCTACAAATTTTTTGCAAGCACTTTCTTTTATCCCGGCAGTACCACGTCCACTATTCACAATAATCCACAAAACTTCTGAGATTCTTGTTAAAACAACATATTTTGCATTTACCAGATCATTGCGGCTCGGTCGGAATCGACAAAACGTGTACCGAAACTGACTCAGATTTAGAAGCATCCAATCGCCGGAACGATCGACCTGAGTTTCAAGACTAAGAAAAAGTATAAGAAACGTGACTCCCACATTTTAGCCGCAAAGTGGCGCGCTGATAAGCTTTTGCACAAATACCAAGTTTGAAGGGTACAATTCATGAAAAAAGCTGCTCTTTAAGAGAAAACGTATGAAAACCAGTATTTTGTGCTATGTTCTATAGGAGACACCTTCAAACACGTCATAATGTGTTATCAAAATCATCACCTCAAGCAGCTCTATCACAGAGCACAGATGTCTGCGCACCTGCACTACAAAACATAGCATATATATATGTAAAATAGCAGAAAAACTACCTCAAAATGTATTATTGACGCTCTCCCCTCTCAAGACGGTGGTTGACGACAAGACAGATAATTGCATCATGTAGAGCTCGTTTTGCTCTACAACATGCTCTAATTGATATTTTATGTTCTTCAAATTTTCATGTCACAATTTTTCAAACAGTTTCGAAGGGTTTGTTCTAGGAATATGAAGTCTGCAGCGACGAAAAAAATTGGAAAAAATTTTCTCATTTGCACATAGCTGGATGCTGTTTCTCGAGAGGAATTAGAATATGTCATGGAATCCGTATTTTGAACGTTTTTCAGTACAGTTGCATTAGCTTTCCTGAAATTTGTTGATCAATCAGCTTTTTTAAAGGCCGAAAACAATCGTTGAGTCATCAATAGTATTTTGACAATATCTCAGCAAAAAATGGTTTAATCGGAAACTTCTTTTAGCAGAATGATAAGCAGGAAAAGCCTTGCAAGCTCTGGAAGTTTTATCAGGTTTCGGCGTGATCGTTGAATCGGCGGACGATTTCCCATAGGTATGCCCATATATATAATTACCTTTTTCTTCAATCTATACTATTGAAAATCGCATTAAATGAGTGATAGGCAGCCTCTGTTGGGTGAGTCAGGCAAGCTGTCGTTTGGCGATGACGATGGTTTCGGTAGTGATATCAACCAGAAGCAAGTCTCAAAGAGCAGGTATGATATAATTTGAGAAAAGAAGTATATACGCATCCAGTTTATTGGATATTCTAGCTTTTCTACGTGGCGACGATATTTTTCAAGAAGTACAAAAATGGAGGGAAAGAATGAAAGGCCAGGCGATGAAGACGACGCGGACGATAGATATCATGATATTGGCTTTTTCGAAATTGTGAGTGTGTAGAAGTTTATCATTACCCCAAAAACCGTTCGTGCATTTCAAAACTTTTATGTTTAGAAAATTTTTCTGGGGATTTTAAGCCCGCACATAATGGATATCGTCATATAGTTCTATACGTAGAAAATTTTGACAAGCTTTCTAGCGCCTTTCACAGATCTGACTATATGTTAACAGCTATTGACGTTAACGAAGTTCATATGTCATATGAACAGTTATTCGAGCTACAAAAGTATTCGCTTAGGAGAAGCGGCAATTCTATGAAGAAGGCACTTTTGAAAAGTTTGAATGGTATTCACTGCATAATCATTATACTCTATCTATGTTCGTCAGCCAAAAGGCGTCAGAACGTTCGATTTATTTAAAGTTCCCACAAATTTTTAGCCATTTTACATAAGTTTTTACAGCACAATCAAATTAAAAAGGCTCTTCTAAGTTACCCAAAGCTGCGGTTCTCTTTAATGTATCCTCTCTTTCATATACAGGCCCATATTTACCTGATGTGAGTATAACCCAGGTTCTTCTCCAAAATAAGCCGTATTATGAAGTTATAAATATTAAACAATACTGAACTTCTGTCAAAAGATTATACTGCAACATAACATGAAATCCACCTTCTCTATACTAGAAGCCTCTCATTTTTCTATAAAACATAATAAACCGCTGAAGTAAACAGGAGTACAAACTTAAAGAATTCACTAAGAAAAATTTTAAGGCTTTTAAAAATGTTGATAGCTTTGATATCTAAACTTCCCAATTAGTTGCAAGATATATGAGAATTCTGTCCGAAGACATCAAGTGCCTACCACGTTGTCTGCACTTTAAACGACTTCAGCCCGAGCTAAAGCAGGAAAGAAACCATTTGTTAAACTAGGCGTGCCCTAGTTGGTTTTGCCATATTCCATCGAGCCCATCTTGAAACCTGTGTTCAGCTGTGTATAGTTCAATATAGCTAAGTTTTCTACAACTAACTCGTAGTTATTGTAAATTAGAAAGCTCAACATTGATGTTAGTTTTCGGAAAAAGTTTTCGATGTTAAAGTACGACATGAGAGTAGTATTTATCAGCCATATAATCAACGTTGTAATCGTTGGAGATCTTATAAGATCCAAGGCCGGCTGGTTAACAAAATGTTTCGAAGTGGTTGAAATTGATAGTGAGCCGTTTTGGCTAAAGGAAGACTTGAAAACGTCCATTTTTAAAAGTTTATCAGTAGATCATATTCTATACTGTAATTCTTTATGCCTGATGCTTTTTAAATAAGTGGATTCAATGATTTAACGCAACAATAGTTTTATAGTCGCCATTGTTTAGGCCCTCGCCTTTGGCTTGTATTTTTTTCTACTGACGAGGAAATCTCTTTTTGAATCAAAGTCTATTCGTAAATTAGACCGCTTGGAGATAAGAAAAACTCGCAATCCAATATAAGCTTCTAGCTCTTCCGTTCATATTCGTGTGCATTTTACTGAAGCTCCAGTCGGAAGCATTGGCTGTAAGTTATCAGAAAATTGAATGAAAATATGCCGACAACAACTTGTACCTAGCGTAGAGTTGCATGGTGAATAAAATATCTTTGATTTTCAATGGAAGGCAGCATTCATATCTCTAAGCATTATGATACGAGAAACTAACCTATGGTGCGAAAATCTTCGTACAAAATGTGTTCTCATTTTACGGCTACTTATAAGCAACTGTTGGAAGTGAGGAAAAGTTTAACAAGATAAGTGTTCGATGTTCTTTCTAGCCATACGTTAACGATGATCTTTAGATGCACCTTGGTGAAATACGAGAGCATTTTGTCGAAGACTTGAAAATAACGTTTGTACAACACTTCATTTTGTATTTGCGTTAAAGTCTGCGAATAACAAAATATAAAACCGTTGCACTCATTCAGTTTTGTAGAGCATATTTTGATCGACAAAACATGTTAAATGTTCTGTTTTAAAAAGTGTCAATTCTGGGAAAATTGAATTTTTGATAAATGACTATTCTGTATGAAAAATAGTGTTTTGTAAAGAATGTAGCTTTCCAGCAAATTGCGATTTTCCTTATTGCGACGACTCATGTTATAGCAAATTTTTTGCACTACAATAATATTAAGTTGACTTGTCGTACAATGCAAACGTTATAAGCTGAAAATTGAACAAAACTCCTGAAATACATTGTACAAATGCGATTTTCTCGCCTCTGAAAAAAACTTTTCTTGTTTACTAAGCTTACATTCGAAGAAAATCTAGAACGTATGTCTAGAAGCAGCGTCAAATTCTACTCATAAAAGACTATTCTGTACGCTGATTAATTGTTTTGAGGTAGTTTAAAAACTCGGCGACATTTTGTACGAAGACTTTCGCGCCATACGTTATTCATGCCCACGAAATTTGTTGAAATTACGCTCTTTTCATCCTGTGTTATATCACAAAAAAAGAGTGATATTTTCTTTACACAGGCAACTCGGCGCGAACTACGATTCTCAAAGTCTTGATAACATCAGTCCGATATCGTCAAATAATATTTATTTGAATTAAAAACGAAAACGGTTTTTGGTCACAGAAGAATGAACATAGTGCTCTTGAAATAGTTCACATTCTTACAAAAAAGTCTCAAAAACCTTTTTAGCATATATTAAAAAAGTTTATTTTGCCCAAAATTATGAAAGTGAGTTTATTACAAGTAATTGAAGCGCGTCTTAGGCGTCTAGAAAACGCTTATATCACCAGAAACCAATGATCTGCGCGCGTGCTAGGTCAAACTGATTAGGGTAATTGTAATTTCTACAACCACCCAACTTTTTGAGATATCATGTCGATGCGTGCCCCAACCAGCCACAAATTGACCGGTTATGTTCGCGCAGATCTACGCTTACCCACTTTGATGCGAACTTTAACAAAATAGACTGTTCCTAAACATTCAACTATCACCCGATCCAACATAATCATCTACAAATCCTCCGATTGTCCTCACAAGCGTTGGTGCTGATATTTACAACCATCCACAGAATTGAAGAATCCGCATCATTGCAAACCCAAGCGGTGTCCTCCCATCGAATAATAAGGACCTGAGTAGGTGCCTGGGTGGGCCTCATTTGAATCTCAATTTATCAAACCAAAATGGACAAGCGCTTGCAGATTCACTTCAAGCAAGTTCCAATGTGCATCAAAACTCACTGCCTACCAAGTTCACCATTCACGTCATATGAGCACCTCCATGCACGCATCTCCACCAATGCCCACACCCACGTCCGTACCTAAAGTCAGATTTCCACTCGTCATAATAAAGTCCATACTCACTCAACCTTATGATCGAACGTGAATGTCATTGGAGCAAATACGAAAGTGCTTGTTCACTTTAGCGTAATAAATTGAGATCCAAATGAATCCTGCTCAGACACTTACTCAAGTCCTTACTACTCGATGGGAAATACCACTTGTTTTTTGCAATAATGCAGATTCTTTAATTCTGTGGGTGGCTGTGGAAAGCACCGTGATAATATCTGAAAAAGTTAGGCGGTTGCATAAATAACAGGTATCGAACTGATGATAGTTCTATCATCAGTGACAATCGCTGAGATGACGCATATTTAACGATAGAAATGTAGACGTATCAGAAGATATTTAAAATGCGGCATAAGTTTGACAACAGTTTGTTTTGAGAATATCAATAGTCAAGAACGACATAGTATTTTGTTCTGCTAGCAGAAATATACAATTTTAAAGCTCCACATAAAATTATAGCATATTCTTCGCTACTTTGGACTCATGAATCGTTTAAAGCTAACACGAGCATCTAGTTATTGTGTCATACATTCAGCAGTTCGTGCATTCTAACAGCACTTGGATGCTTGCAAATGCTTTTTACTGAGATCCTCACCGCTCGTACTAGTCCCAACAATACCAGTATATGATACTTCATCATTAGTACACGGCTAGATCCTGTGGTCTCGTCTTTTTGAAACGACACATGCAGTGTTTCACGTATAATAGAAACTCTCTTTGACGGAACGATGTATCTGCCGTAAAAAATACATTTTTTCTTACGATTCCGATGAAAATCTATCAATATTTTTCGTAAAGATTATGCAGGTGTTATTTTCCCACTTGAGGATGTATGAGAAGCATCATGAGCAGTTCTGATTCTGCTGTTGCAATCAGCGTAATATTATTGTTTGAGTGGAAAGTACATCGAGGTTATTAGAGACAAGAGATTCGTGTTTCGATACTTCTTAGTTTATTGTGGAAAATGAAAAGTTACACGCGTGGAAAAACACTCCTCTCGTTGCTCTCCCTTCACACTATCACACGTACATATTTATATGCACACATACAAAGAAGAGTGAATAGATATCACAGAAACAAAGAAAGATATCACTAATACAAAAGATCTAGGGAGATAGAAGGTATAACGATTGATCTAGGCAGAGAGAGAGAGAGAGAGAGAAAATAAACGTACATGTATCTGAGAGAGATGTCGCCTATAACAGAGGTTTACGCCGAACTGTCTGCTTTTCTTGTAGTTTCGACATGCAGATGGTATCAGCGTGCTTCTTATGTTCACCGGCTTAGTCCTTTTGGCAATACATGCAGTCTGCGTACTTGCTAATCTAGCTCTTTTTGGTAAAATTACTGGTGTTTTTGCTGTGGAATCATTTGATAACGATTGCCATAAAGCACATAGAAATTTGACAGCTCTTATCACCTACGACAGTGGCTGTCCTCTAGGCATTGCAGTCGATGCAGACAACAATAGTCGGTTTTACAAGTAATTTATCAAAAAACATTGTAGCTTATTGATGCAGTGTTACATTTCACAGATTATGCCATAATGGCGATACAGTTACACTAGCAACATTACCTTCATCATCGCTTTTTCGGGCGAAAGTTATGGCTATAATTTATTGGTTAATTCGTAAGCGAATCAAATACAGCGCCTAGTCGATATATTTGCTGGCTCATGTCATTGTAGTTATTGCTGTTGTTGTATGGTTGGCCAGTTTTCTTGAATATACTATTTGGTCGATTGCTATAAGACGGCAGACGGCTCGTATGAATATCCTGCTCTTTCAATCGCTGCTACAGCGTGTAATTAAGTTTCTTTTGATATTTATCTCAACTGTTGATTTCTTTTTTACTTCAGAATGTACCATACTTTGACAAACATCCAGCTAGTCAATTCAATAGTAACCTATTTGGGTAAAGTGTCGTTATACCTTACATAAAATAAATTTTACAAGACGAAATCTTTTTACAGCAACATTGAAATGGTTGAAAAAGGTATCGGTATAGATTTTTTGATCACGCTTGGGGCAATACTATGTATATGGGCAAGTTTGATCACATGTTTCATTATCAATTGGAAATTATCTCTTATTTTATTCTTCACTATACCTATTGTTATGACCGGCTCCACGATATTTTCCAAGGTATAAAATAAAATATTACCTCATTAAATCAAAGCTTCGTAAAAAAATTTAGCTTCTTGCTCGTGAGACAGAAAACGAATTCAAATCGTATTCATCAGCTGGGCGTATCGTTCAAGAAGTAGTAAGTTCGGTACGAACAGTTTTCTCACTTAATGGCGCCAAATTTGAGCAACAGCGGTAAATGAATATATTGATAGCAGAAAGTTTACTGATTTGGGGGTCATTTTGATTATTTAGATACGAGAAAGAATTAGAGTCAACTCATTGGAGTACTGTTCGACAACGTGCCATATGTGGTATTTTTATCGGTTGGCTATCTTTTAGCTTTTACATAGTTTATGCCGTTGGCTTCATCTTCGCTTCTATTTTTATGTCTTATGCAACTCATAGCGGACTGCAAATTACTGATGTTCTTGTTGTAAGTAGTTGATGATATATATATATACTATGCCGCTAGAAAATTCCGTACAACTATCCTCCTACTTCACATGCGAAAAGTAAGGTTTCTATCGTCATGTGGGATGTCTAAACTTGAAACACCACACAGTTGCCTTATATTCAGTCTGATTTCTAGAGAAAAAAGATTTATCATATGCGTATATATATAGATGTATGTTACTCAATTTTGAATTATTTTATCCATTGTCTGTATGTTGCACGCAATGCGGAGATAGTATTTCATAGAGCTCTCCAAAGGTCATACTATGCACTTTTCAGTATCAAATTTCAAGGAAACCATGACATCATAAATTACTTTTTCACGAAAAAACACCTTGATACCACATGAAGCATTACTAATAAAATGACTACTTTTTCTCAGTTTTTACAAATTACTTTAAGATCTGACTGCTTTGCTCTGAAATTTCTGACACTAAGATCATTTCAACGGCCTTTTGCAATAATTAATCTCACATTTTCGCTTACACATGCTTCACTTTCGGAGCTTCGCTGTCGGACTAGCGGTTTATGTCAAATATTTTCGACTTTATGACCGCAGACGTCAGCCTGCATGAAGCTATAGCGATCCTAAATCAGTGTTTTTAAGAGATTGATAATCAGCAACAGTGAAAACTTGCAATGGAATGGCGAGTAGTTTGGTATTGAAGACTTTTTTCTTTCTCACTCAAAGGTGAGAAGCAAACATGTCACATGTGAAGTAAAGAATAATTGCACGACATTTTCAAATACGATAAAATGATGAAAAAAATTAAACTTCACTTTGATATAGATTATTATGATGTTTGCTCAGTGTCTAGCATACTTTGGTATGATTGTGCCTTTCTTTCAATCATTTTCGGAAGGGAAAGGCGCTGCAAAATCTGTATTTCGACTTATTGATGAAGTAGGTTTGAATAAGCAGAAATTGCATGTACCTAATGAATGTTTTTTTATCTCATTCTACAATATAACAGAAACGGGATCCAAACTTAAACGAGAAGGATTTGTTCACAGAAGATGCCTCTAATGAAGACCCAGTTTGCGACATCGTCGGTGACATTGAATTTAAAGATATAAATTTAGTTTATCCGTCTCGAAAAGATGTGTCGGTTTTGCACAATCTCAATCTGATTGCTCGCACCAATAAAACGACTGCCCTTATTGGTGGAAGCGGTTCCGGTAAACATAGTTTTTGCTAAATGTGTAAAATGCTAAAATATTACAACGATAGGTAAAAGTACATGTATGTCACTTCTTCTTCGATTTTATGAACCATCATCGGGTGAAATTACGATCGATGGTCAAGCAATCACGCACTATTCAATTAAATGCCTTCGACAAAATATTGGAATTGTCAGTCAAGAACCTGTATGTTGCTTTTTTGTCTTTTGTTCAGCTACAGTTTACATCAAATTAGATTTTATTTGCAATGAGTATTTATGAAAATATTCGTCTTGGTAAATTAAACGCAACGCGTAAAGAAATTGAAGAAGCGGCAAAGGAAGCCAGCGCGCATGATTTTATTATGAAACTACCTCATGTTTGTAGATTTTGTTTTTATTTTGTCTCATATATGTGAATTGTTAAACAGAAATATGAAACACTCGTCGGTGAGCGTGGTATTCAATTAAGCGGAGGTGAAAAACAACGAATTGCATTAGCACGAGCTCTCGTTAAACAACCGTCGATACTTCTATTGGATGAAGCAACTAGTGCACTTGACAATATCAGTGAAAAAATTGTTCAAGAAGCACTCACCCGAGCATGCAAAAGTAGCTGTTCAATATTCTTAACCTACTATATGCTTTCATATGTTTTAGATCGAACAACTATTGTTGTCGCTCATCGTTTAACAACGATCCAAAATGCCGACCATATATATGTATTAGAGAAAGGAAGTGTGATTGAAGAAGGTACACATGACACATTGATGATGAAAGACGGAGGAAAATACCAAACTATGGTAGAAAAACAACAAATACAGAAATTTACTGTTGACGAAAACGTACCATCGGAAAAATTTATGGAAAAAGGTGAAGAGCAAAATTGTTCAACAAAATGATAATGTCGATAAATATGACTTATTTCTTTATTTTGATTAGTAGAGCGAAATCGTTTATTGAGCGAAATCGAAACAGCTGATACGAGCAGAGTAAATATAGAATGAGTTGTAATACTTAATCCTATATTATTGCTCTAGAAGTCTTCATTACCAATAGCACGAGAATCTATGTTTCTACGACTTTTATTAATGAATGGTCCCGAATGGCCAGCTATCTTGATCGGTTGTGCAGCATGTATAATTTGTGGGCTATGTCAACCAATCTTTGCATTCTTATTAGCCAAATTAATAGACGTAAGTAACCTAGTGATCAGGCTAGTTCTACCGTGAATTTATTTTCTATACAGCTGTTGAGAGGTTGCGATCTGGCTGATATTCGTCATGGAGTGCTGATCTCAAGCGTCGTGCTTTTATCTTTGGGTATCTGTATGTTCTTTCTACGTTTCTTTGAAGTAACAATAGTTTTCGTAAACTCAATCAATGCTATTCATATCCTTATATAGTCTACTGCTTTTGGCATAGCAGGTTCAAGGCTAACACAACGTATACGTACAAAAGCTTTCGCTTCTTTGCTTTGTCAAGAAGTTGCTTATTTTGATCAACCCGAAAACAGCTCTGGCGCTGTATGTGCGCGTCTCTATTCTAATGCAAAAGCCATCCAAGACATGACTGGTACCAGATTAGGTGCTCTATGTGAAGGTCTTGCCTTGTGTGGCTTTGGACTATTATTTGGACTGTTACTTAGTTGGCAATTAACAATCATCGTGTTTCTACCTTTTATTGCGTATGCCGTAATTGCTTTAATCGACATATGGATAAACATTGAATTGCAAGATCGATCGAAAGCAATCTATAGCGAAGCAAGCTCGGTATTTTCAGTTTATTACAAATATACTTTAAGATCTAGATTGAACATACTTAGCTTGCTGTCGATGCCCTTCACAATATACGCACAATAAAACAATTATTTGTAGAACATGAAATTCTACGACGATACTCAAAACTAATTGATCTTGCACACACGTTAGTCTCACAAGTTTTTATCCGCACAAATTTTGACAAAAATCTTTTGATATGTAGAACAGCTACGAAATCTGAAACATTATCCGGAATGTTAAATGGTTTGTANAGTTTTTGTTTTTATTTTGTCTCATATATGTGAATTGTTAAACAGAAATATGAAACACTCGTCGGTGAGCGTGGTATTCAATTAAGCGGAGGTGAAAAACAACGAATTGCATTAGCGCGAGCTCTTGTTAAACAACCGTCGATACTTCTATTGGATGAAGCAACTAGCGCACTTGACAATATCAGTGAAAAAATTGTTCAAGAAGCACTCACCCGAGCATGCAAAAGTAGCTGTTCAATATTCTTAACCTACTATATGCTTTCATATGCTTTAGATCGAACAACTATTGTTGTCGCTCATCGTTTAACAACGATCCAAAATGCTGACTATATATATGTATTAGAGAAAGGAAGTGTGATTGAAGAAGGTACACATGACACATTGATGATGAAAGACGGAGGAAAATACCAAACTATGGTAGAAAAACAACAAATACACAAATTTACTGTTGACGAAAACGTGCCATCGGAAAAATTCATAGGAAAAGGTGAAAAGCAAAATTGTTCGACAAAATGACAATGTCGATAAATATGACTTATTTCTTTATTTTGATTAGTAGAACGAAATCGTTTATTGAGCGAACTGGAAACAGCTGATATGAACAGAGTAAATATAGGATGAGTTGTAATACTTTAATCCTATATTATTGCTCTAGAAGTCTTCATTACCAATAGCACGAGAATCTATGTTTCTTCGACTTTTATTAATGAATGGTCCCGAATGGCCAGCTATCTTCATCGGTTGTGCAGCATGTATAATTTGTGGACTATGTCAGCCAATCTTTGCATTCTTATTAGCTAAATTAATAGACGTAAGTGATCTAGTGATCTGGCTAGTTCTACCGTGAAGTTGTTTTCTATACAGCTGTTAAGAGGTTGCAATCTGGCTGATATTCGTCGTGGAGTGCTGATCTCAAGCGTCGTGCTTTTATCTTTGGGTATCTGTATGTTCTTTCTACGCTTCTGTCAAGTAATAATAGTTTTCGTAAACTCAATCAATGCTCTTCGTATCCTTATATAGTTCACTGCTTTTGGCATAGCAGGTTCAAAGCTAACACAGCGTATACGTGCAAAAGCTTTCGCTTCTTTGCTTCGTCAAGAAGTTGCTTATTTTGATCAACCCGAAAACAGATCTGGCGCTGTATGTGCACGTCTCTATTCTAATGCAAAAGCCATTCAAGACATGACTGGTACCAGATTAGGTTCTCTATGTGAAGGTCTTGCCTTATGTGGTTTTGGACTATTATTTGGACTATTACTTAGTTGGCAATTAACAATCATCGTATTTCTACCTTTTATTGCGTATGCCGTAATTGCTTTAATCGACATATGGATAAACATTGAATTAAAAGATCGATCTAAAGCAATCTATGGCGAAGCAAGCTCGGTATTTTCAGTTGATTACAAATATACTTTATGATCTAAATTGAACATACTTAGCTTGCTGTCGATGCCCTTCACAATATACGCACAATAAAACAATTATTTGTAGAACATGAAATTCTACGACGATACTCAAAACTAATTGATCTTGCACACACGTTAGTCTCACAAGTTTTTATCCACATAAATTTTGAAAAAAATCTTTTGATATGTAGAACAACTACGAAATGTGAATCATTATCCGGAATGCTAAATGGTTTGTATTGGGGTATGGACCCATTAACGTTAGCAATTTTATTTTGGCGTTCTCTTATACTTATCGAAACAAATCAAATAGATATACACAATGTTATGATGTAATCAGAACATTAGTTAGTTTGATCTATAAATATTATGTTTAGGGTTTTTGCTTTTGCTTTGTATATGACACAGTCGTTAAGAACTGTCGGGATGCTGTAAGTGTTTCAACCTATATTTATCTCACGTAATTTTTGTTGAAGAGCTCGAGACATTGGCTCATCAATATCTGGCGCCAAAGTTATTTTTGATTTATTTGACCGAATTCCATCCATCGACAATACATCTGATGCTGGACAAGAACTCGTGAGAAGATGCGTATTGTACTTGTTGTGTGGTAATATATACGTGATATAGGTTGATTTTCGTGGAGAAATTGAATTTGATCAAGTTAAGTTTGCTTATCCAGCTCGATCAACGACTATTATTCTCAAAAAATTACGATTAGCTATTAAAGCAGGTAAGTTTGAAAACATCTTATGTACTTCGCATCATTGTCTTCACTTGTATTGTTCAACGTTAAGGTCAACGTGTTGCTCTTGTTGGTACGCTTAGTGAAATGAATCGTTATTGAGGTATTGATGTCATAATTTACTGATTTTAGGATCATCTGGATGTGGAAAATCAACCATTATACAATTATTAGAACGATTCTATGATCCTTTATGTGGTCGAATAGTAAGTACAGATTTTTCTTTAATTGTATAGTAAACGAAACTTATTAATCGATATAAGCTGTTTGATGGCGTCGATATTCGGCAATTAAATCTTCAATGGCTCCGTGCTCGTCTAGGTCTTGTTGCTCAAGAGCCGATTTTGTTTGATATGACAGTTGCTGAAAATATAACATATGGATTAGAAAATATATCGATGGATGATATTATAGCTGCTGCAACAAAAGCAAATGTTCATGATTTTATCCAACAATTACCACAGGTGAACAATGATACTGTTGATCGGGCGTTGTTATTTTCTACCTTTGTAGGGTTATCAAACAAATGTAGGCATGAAGGGTAGTTTTCTGTCGGGTGGTGAAAAACAGCGCATTGCTCTTGCTCGAGTTCTTCTCCGCCAGCCAAAAGTATTGTTACTGGACGAAGCTACCAGCGCTTTGGACTCTTTGAATGAACAAGTAAACAATTTCATCTTTCCATACATATTTGCAACGGTTTATTTTCACTTGATGTATTTCAGATCGTACAAGCCGCTCTTGATCAAGCTCAAACAGAAGATCCTGCACGAATAACTATTATTATCGCGCATCGTCTTTCAACAATTCGTTCATGTGATCTGATATGCGTCCTCGATGAAGGGCGTATAGTAGAAATGGGCTCACATGCCGAATTAGTACAACAACGTGGGACCTACTATGAAATGCTCTCTGCTCAAAATAATAAAGTGTGAAAATGTCCGATTATTTTCAATAAAATAATACCCATTTACGGAAGCAAAGAAGGTTTATTAAGAAAAAAAAACGTAGTTATACTTTGTGAAACATCATTCGAAAGACTACTGAATGCGGATCAAAACTGATTCCTCTCGACTTGGTTCAATAGAACAGATGCAGAGAGTCAGAAAGTTCAGCACCATAGCCCGTCCGATCTAACCTAACTCGATATATTTCTTTACAAAATCTTGTAAGCGTCGCAACATCAAAGTACTAACGAATACTGTAAACAAGATTGTTATACTCGAATAGAAGAATTCAACAACAAATAACGCTAGAGCATGTGTATACACGATTGTTGATTGAATATCGTTTATATTTGTTAAGTGCCTAGATCACGATATTCTATTCCTAAAAGTCTTCTCTATTCAAATTTCAACACTTCGTGCTTATTGGTGGTTGGTTGATCGGAAGATGTGTGTAAGATTGAGTTTGATTCAGAGTAGGACTCACTATTTCTGGCACATAATACAGTAAAACGTCTCTTTATGAACAACCGGTTCAACTGAACACCTTCCGGTCCCACGAGTGATTTTTGCTTGATTTGAAGCCCTCCTTTATGAACGCCCCTTGATTCTGAATGTGAACGCTTTTCCTAGTCGTTTTTCATTCAATAACCTGACTATTGTGAACATTAGATAGAGGTCGTTAATAAGAAAAATTGAATGATTGACAGATAGATGTTTGGTTATAAAGAAAGCGCATTCGATGTACGATGCACTGAAGCAGATACCAAAGGAAGAGAGAAGAGAGATTAACAAAACACACGTAATTGTGTTAAGCAAACGTAATTTAATTTAATTTTCGTTTTAGATATGCCTAATCGTAACGATCTTACACTAAAACAGAAAATTACTTTAATCAAGAAGAATGAAGCTAGTTCATGTTATCGTGATTTACGAAATAAATTTAACGTATCAATTGAGATAGTATCGGATATTCTTAAAAGAAAGAGAGAATACATCAGTGATTATGAAACTAATTTGAGTAAAAACGTGAAACTCAAAACTAGCCATGATTTTAGGCAATCAATCAATGAATCCGTCTATGAATGATTCGTTGCTCAACGTGACAAGAAAATTCCAGTATCTGGACCGATTTTGCGAGCATACGCTCGTAAAGTTGTTTACGAATTGGATAGCGAATGCGAATTTAAAGCCAGCTATTAGCGATGTCTTCGCTCGAGCAACGAATCTCAATGTTTATTCGAAACGATGTGAAAGATAATGTGTATCGAAGATAACAGAAACAGATGGAGAGGACGATGTGAAGGCATGCGTATGTACATGCCTGTAACACCAGCAATGGATGGTTGGAGAGATTTAGAACTCGTTACAATGTCAATTTTCATGTGATTTCGGGTGGAGCAGCAGCTATTTGTGAAGAATTTGTAGTCGATTGGAAATCACGTTTAGCAACAATTCTTGAACAATACAACCCTAGAGATGTTTACAACTGTGATAAAACGGGTCTTTACTACAAACTGATGCCCGATCGATTACTTGTTGTCAACAAAGACGACAGTATCGGCGGTAAGAAATTGAAAGAAAGATTTACGATGCTCTTGTGTGCCAATTGGGCAGGAAATTACAAACTAAAACCGGTGGTTATTGGTAAGCAATGATCGAAATACCAGACTATACCAAAACTGACTCATTTTCCATCTTTAGGAAAAACGGCTAGGCCTCGATGTTTCAAAAATATCTATATGAAACAGTTGCCTGTTGCATGGTATCATAATCGAACAGCATGGATGAATAGTTTTTTATTTACTGATTGGTGACAAGGATTGGATTTGATGATGCAAAAGCAAAAGCATAAAACATTGCTCTTTATGGATAATGTACCAGTTCATCCAGTTGATATTAAACTGAAAAATACTACTCTCAAGTTCTTCCCGGCAAATACAACAGCTGTCATCCAGCCAATGAACCAAGGAGCTATTAGGACCTTCAAAGCTTATTATCGGCAGCAACTCATACAACAAATCACTATCAAACTCTACTGGTACGCAATCTACGGATGATATTGTAATTATAGTATTAGATGCTGTCTGCTGGATCGAAATTGCTTGAAAATCTATCTCAAAAACTACGTTACAAAATACCTGCAGCAAAGTTGAATTTATGACTTCCTCTACTTCCACAGATCCACAACCACCGAACTCGACATCCTTAGCCGACGAAGTCATTTTTGCTCAAGTGCAGGAGTCTTTAAAAGATCTTGATAGCGCACTTCGACATGTATCCATTTTTGGCACTAGTATGTCAGCAACTGATTTTGTGGTGAGTTTCCTATAATCATTCGCATATTTGCAGCTTGACTTACATATTCTTTTTTTCAATACTTCAAGATGTCGATGTTGATCTACCTACATTTAATGAATGGAATGATGATAGCGAAAAACTGTTATCTATCCATGTGATTGGAAATGAAGATTCACCACAAAATGAAGATTTCGAAATGGAGTAACAATCCTCACTACCAGATGCTATTCAGCTACTTCGTCGATTAAGATTATTAACAACTGCTCGTTATCCAGAACTCCATTCACTATTGTCTCAATTTCAATCGAAATTAATCGATATTTATCTGGATTCCAATAACGTTAAACAGAAATCTATTCTGGATTGTTTCCAAAGTGACGGATTAAAAACCAAAAACTTTCTTTAATTCTCTTCTTAAAATAACCAGTGACAATATTTGTGATCTCTACTAAAATAGAATAACTACCTACTTAGAAGTAGTAAACCAATAGTCGAATTCATTCCTTTAACTACTTTTGCTTACACCCCTCCTTTATGAACGCCCTGTTAAACTGAACGTTTTTCGTCAGTTCCGACAGTGTTCAGATTAAAGAGGTTTTACTGTATCAGCGAGACTGAAATGAACCTATAGCATGTTGCAAATAAAAACCATCCTGCAAAACAAATCGAACAGCTTTCGAAAGCATCAGCCGATCCGAAACAATATGTAGTACATGAATTGATGGATTACTTCACAAGACTTTCAAGTCGAGTGATAAGTGAAAAGTACACGAACAAAAAGGTTTCACCTGCAGAAAAAGACAGAAACGTTCATAGGCACAGCGGTATCATATTCTGATAACTGTTTACGGTGAAAGCAACTATTAAGTTTTTTAAAATTTTGAAGTCTTTTTGTCGAAGGACGGAGTCAGTTGATAGTTAGTTTTTGTGCGATATAGTCCAATTCATGTCGTTATATAGGACATCATTACTCTCGCTATGAATCAAAAGTAATTTTCAATACTTACCCAAATCGACTTCTTTCTTTCCCTTCTTTTCAGTCATGATTCACGTGAATTGCATGGGAAAGAACAAGGAATATAGCCCTATCTCATTATATCTTCGTTTCATTTCTACTTGTTGTTAAATCAACAATATACCATTCATTTCATACTTCTGTGTCATCACATGCTTGGCTTAAATGTTCAGCTACACATGCAGGATCACTCCTTCAAATGTTATGGACTCTGGTGATGAAGCATTCTATTATTTTGGCCGTCAATTTTCAAGCAAGAGAGCTGCGGGACTACTTGGTCGTCAAGAAATAAATATAATCGACTTTTCCTTGCGATTTCAAGTTCTTGCTGCAGCGCTCCAACGCTAATCAGATCGATTGAGTGACATAAGAGAGAACACGTACGTACAGTAATTGAACGGTGACACCATTACTCTTCTTCCAGCTTTGAATCATCAATTAATACTTCCACCATACTACGAAAAAATAAACGAAACTATATCAGCAAACAACCTGAAAGACCCCATTTGATCCATGCTTTGAAATTTACCCGCAACAAATTCAGCTCTGATCACACATTCAAACAGTATCCACCCTGCGATATTATACACTAACTTGGACACCTTCGCATACTGTATCAATAACGGCTGGTTTAATAAACATTTGAAGGCCGTACGATTTCGTTGAAAAATAACTTTGATTCAGTGATTTCCATGTATGCTTGTTTTCTATAAATGTTTCTTTGATTTTATTGAGTACATATAACTATTGTGTTGGCCAAAAAGTTCTGCAGCACTTGCAAAAAGTTGATTTTTGTGGTATAGTGGCTAAGCGGTCACGTGTCTGTCCATGTGAACGTCTTTATCTATTCCTTGTTCAGTATTTGCATGTACCTTCTCGAATTTTCTACACTGAAAAAAAAGGTGTTTTACCAAACCAAAAAAGCAATCGGTCGGCGGGCACAATCGCTAAACCTCACATGGTTTGGTCGCAAAAAGGTTGCGTATCGACCCTTTACATGATCGATGATAAAAAAGGTTTCGCACATCAGTTTTCGTATGAAACCATTCCTGGAAAAAATCTAAAGGTTCCGTAGAAAAGGTTTCGCACGAAACGCTTCCAAAAAATATT